AAACACCTTTACCTTAAAGTCCACTCTGATCCTGTGGACTCCGTCTGCTGGGATTTTTTGCTTCGAACTATTGCCATTGGAGAGAGTGCTGAGGATGTTCAAAGTGCCTGTGTTCTCCTGCTTACTGACTGGAGGTGGCTTTTCCTACAGAGACAGAAGATGGATGAAGAACAAAACCACACCCTATTTGCCTTTGCCTTTGTAACAGATAACGCAAACGACAAGTCTAACAGATCTACAAAACACATCTCCACGGAAGTACCCTACAGACACAGAGAGTCAATCTTCAGATTCTTTTCTCCAGAAAGGCATTTTACATATGTATTACAACCCGAGAAGAAGAATTCCAGGACTCTCCCCTGTGGGTTCTTGTCTTGCTTCTTCGTGGTCTGTGACGCCGGCCGAGGTTGTTGGCACGATGAAACGGAAGTGACAGCACGGGAGCAGTTTATTCTGCCATTTTTCTAGATCTTTGAGTTGCACATCAAATGTGGGGCCGATCGCTCCACTCCTGTTTAACCCGCCTGGGATGCTCACAGAAGCGTTCCCAGCTCTGTGATCATCAATTTCAATTTGTCAGTATGACCATGCTTGATTATCACTACAGTCAGAAGCCAGACAATGACCTTGGAGTAAGGCCTCCTAAGACCCTGGCATCTGCCCCTCTTTGGCATTGCTGATACTCTTGAGAGTATCAACCAGGAAGTTCATACACGCCATTATGGTGGCACAGAGAGACAGCAGAAAGAGCCAGAAGATTCTTGAAGACCCGTCTCTCTCCATACAATTATAACAGCGTAGACACAGGGAAGGGTGATAGTTACAGACAAATGTCACTAAAGGATGCTGAAGGCAAAAACAATTACCCTAAAGTGGCCTGCGACATAAGCCTAAGCATAGAGGACCACGAAGAAGGGGAAAGGAACAAGGGGAAAGAAACAAAAAACAAAACGAGTGAAAGCCTAAACCTGAAGTTTGTCTATTTTAAGAAAGTCCACTGCCATCTTCCTAGAAGCAGATACGCGGTTTCATTCACGCAATCACGTAAATGCCAAGGACAAGACTACTGCCTTACAGGATGGAACACATCCCCGAGCAATGGCAGAGAAACGAATCTCTCCTCACCTTTTCTTTTGGTTTTTGTTTTACAGGAATACTTGGTCGAGGAGCCACTTTTTTCTGCTTGCTTTGCTCTGGACCTGAAGAATTCAACATAAATTACAGTCAGTGCTAAATAGCAACGACCACTTTTAGGACTTACTGGCCTGTGAGGAAAGGGGCATTAGAAAACACAGGAAACTACTGAAACTCTGGGCTTTAAATAGGAAATGAAGACAATACCTCCGACTTAACTGGGTTTTTTTGCTTCTATTTCTCTATTATTCTGTAAACAGGTTAAAAGAGAGCTAATTTTTCTGAATTAAAGGCTTAAAAATATACACGTCAGGTTTCCACATGCTGTTTAAGAAAGACAGAGGTGTTGTTCTTCTGGTTCAGCTATTCCTCCTTGCCTTCCTCACTCACCTGATTCTGGTGGTGGAGGCTGCTTTTTCTTGGGCTCGCTAGGAGTGGTCTTGGGAACTTCTTTTCTTGGCGGTGCTGTGCTTGGTGGCTGTGGGGGGGTGACTGGAGGCGGCTGGGAGACCTGCTTGCCGGACTTCCTGGAAGTCGGGGTGGTAACTTGTTTGGATTCAGGTCCTGGGGCAGAGGCATTCCCTTCTTCACTCTTTTCCTCGACGGGCTTTCGAGGGGGTGGTTCACTATTGCTTTTCTTGGGGGCAGGGTCCTCTCTTGCTGCCGGGGTAGGCTTCTGACCACAGTCCACCACATTCTTCACAACACTGCTCTCTTTGCTCTCTTTCTTTTCACTGGTCTTAGACTTTTTCTCTTTCTTTTTCACAGCTAGGAGGAAACACAAGAGTATAAGTGAGAAGAATTTTACTTAAGACAGAAGTAGAGGAATGTAACATAATCTTATTCTCAGTTTCCTGCAGCTGAAGTTGACGCTGGAAGGCTCATGCTGGTCAGGTGAAATAGGGGTACTTTTGTTGCTCTAGGAAATGGAATGCACTGTGATTTTTACAGGAATTAAATTTTTTTTTTTTTATTATGGAAAATTTCAAGGTAAAGGAAATAATAAAATGAACCCTCATGTAACTACCATCCAGCTTCCACAAACACCAACTTGCTGGGAAAGAGCGGTACTTAAAAAACAACAACAACAACAACAACAACAACAAATTAGCATTCTCTTTACGCTAGATGCACATGATTGTATGGCATTAAAGCAGGAAGCATTTGGGGAAGATCTTTCTACAACACTACCTTTTGCTTGCTTCTGAAGGTAGGCTTTGGAAGGCATCCATTGTAGATTCTGACATTTTCTCATCCTAGGATGACAAGGGATATCATAAAGTAAACTACATTTAGAAGAAGAGCAGTTGAAACAAGTGTCAATTGGCCTGCGAGAATCAGTGAACCTTTCTTCAGGTTCATTTTGAGAGCTGAAAAAAGGCACTGTTGATTACTCAGATTCAATCCGAGCCTTTGAATGCTTCAATCAGCAATTTTACCTACCTGTAGGCTCTAAAAGGAGCAAGTATCAAATTATTTTTGAAACGGACTCAAATTTCTTATAACCTAGTACTGACCAGCACCACACACAAAATGATCAGCTGGTATTTCTTGTAGTCAGATCGGTTCTGCTCCCTTAGGAGATTAATATTCATATAGTAATCTAAATACAAATGGACTGAAATTAACCAACAAGTCCTCTGAGACTACAATGCTATAGGTCTATCTCAGGGTTTTGTATATATTCCACCCCTCAACTTAGTGAAACTGAAACTTAATTTGAAGTCTAAATCCATGTCAACCCCTAAATTATAGTGCAGGTTTATCTTGCAGTTGTGTACCTTTCTGCTGATCAGTGAATTATCTCACTTCTTTCTACTAATTGGACGGAGGCAAGATTCCTGCTTAAGGACAGACTAAACCAAAGCACCGAACTACTTACGGTCTCCTAGACACTGTCTCCCCTGAAGTACTTTCTCCCAACCACGTTTTCTATAAATCCCTTTCGTGCTGCCATTCATTCAGCAAATACCTACTGCTAACATCTCCTCCTTGTCTGGGCACTATACTCCTTATGCTCAGTCACCAACATTTCTGTCTGTGCAAATGTCTCGATTCGCTTCAAACAAATTATCCCAGACAGCAGAAAGTGCATCCATAAGCTGACTAAAACAAGGGGGAAAAGATCGAGTAATCAAAACTTTCAGATCAAAAATTCCATGTGCATGAAAATATTCCAGGAGTTAGAAAGCCAAGAGTTTTATACTAACATATCACCACAATTTCCTGAATGCCGTGATATCAGTTGACCTGAAAATTTATACAGATGATATTATAATATATATGTAAATTATATATAAATGATAGATCGAGTATATGTAAATATTACATATATATGTGACCTATATATAATTTATACAATATATAAAATATAAACATATAATTTATCAGGTTTTTTTTCTTTTCTCTTCTTTTTTTAAGTAGGCTCCACACCCAGCGTGGAGCCCAATACAGGGCTTGAACTCACGGCCCTGAGATCAAGACCCAAGCTGAGATCAAAAGTCGGACGCTTAACTGACAGAGCGGCCCAGGTGCCCCATAAATTTGTCAGCCCGTGTGGCTATTTAAATTTAATTAACATGAAATGCAATTAAGTATGTAGTTCCTGAATTACACTAACCACACTTCAAGGGTTTTACAGCCACGTTTGGCTAATGGCTACCATACTGAACTAAGCCGAGAACATTCCTACTACAGCGGGACATTCTCCTGGACAGCACTGCCCCAGACTATGTCTTATTGAAGGGCAGCCCAAACCTAGCCACGTCACAAAATCCAACTGGGCAACTTAACCTTGCACCTCAAGGGGACTCATTACCACCACATTCAGTTTTCTGCTGCGTCCCTGAGTCCCAGGCATAAACACACAACCTTCACGGCTGAGAGGCCACCGCCTCAGAGTAAGACCCCCACTCACTTGCAGCACTGCTTCTTTATATTTCGGCCACCAAACTTGGGCTTGTCTAAGCAATTAGTACAAACACCACAGTCCTCAGGCACCTGGCAGCCGGGACACTGCCCACACCGCCTGGACCGTCGTCCTTTCTTTACTGGAGGTTCCTGAGGCGCCTTGTTTCTGGTAACGGGTTTAATTGGTTTGATGGGTGGAGCAAGAGGTTCAGCATCTTCTGAGCCAGCAATTGATGACTTGTCTGTTAAAGAAACGGGGCGTTAGTTATCAGGGAGTATCTAGTTCCTTCTTGGGAGCAGAGGGGGGGGTCCTCAAAATCCACAGATGTTATTATATACACGCGAGCCTCATTTTAATTGGGACTCCAAAAATGAAATGTGTCATAATAAAAATATCCCATCATGGATCATTCTTTAAATGTTTAAAAATGTCTATACCTTACAGCTTGATGAAAGCAGAAATCCAAACACTGAGAACACAACACAGTCTAACTTAAATATGAACTGAGTGCTTCTTAAGATTCTCTAAACCTCTACATTTTATATGAGCAGTCACCTAGCATCTAAATGCAACCATGAGAATGTACCTCAGACCTCCAACCACGGGGCATGTAACTAAGTGACCAAGGGCCCCAACTGCTGTGCTCCGAAATCCAGTGCATCACAGAGGCCACACTTACCATGAGGGTCTCTCTTAGGTAGTGACCGAGCATGGCAGGGACACTGAGGCGGGCTGGTCCTGGGAGACACATAACTACTCTGACAGTCCACTTCTGCCCAAGGACTCCTCGACAGCCTTGCCAAACTCTCTGGGAAAACAGTCTGGGAAGATTCTGTCCAACCCTCCTCCCCTTTCTCTTTCATAGGGATCAGACTTGCAAAGCGGTCTGATAGTTCCCCCAGCCTTCCCCAGCTCCCTCCCCATTTTTTCTCTCGGGCCATTTTCTCTAGTATAATCCTTACCCACTGAATGCACCCTTGCCATCTGTTTTTTGGAGAAACCCAGACTAACACATAATGCTACGAAGAGCCTACTAGGCGTCCCCAGAATGATCAGCAAACAAATCAAATGTCTGCTTAGACTCTGAGGACGGCATTCCCTGACCTACCGTCATTCCCCATGGAAGACAAAATCTTTTCTCGTTCTTCCCATGGTAAGGCACTCAGGGTGGGCATGTCATCAGGAAACACAGCTCGTTTTCGGCCAAGGGCAACAGCAGCTCTTCTGCAGACATGTTTAATGCGGGGTCCTCGCACAGAGGTCTCTGATGAATCACTCTCTTGACCCTGAATAAGAGGCATGTCAAAACAAACAACAGCAACCACACATGTTGAAAATGTAATTAACTGAAGCCAAGGTAGACTCGTTTTGCTTATTACAATCTAAAATCAACACATACAACCCTAGTTATTCCCAGCTGATAAGCCATGACAATCTGCAGAAATCGACTACTTCCGTATCCTAAAACTGGCAGCAAAAAAAGGGGGTGGGGCTTTAAAAAACAAAAAGCCAAAAAACCCCAGAAACTAGGGATGCCTGGGTGGCTCAGTTGGTTAAGCGTCCGACTCTTGATTTCAGCTCAGGTCATGATCTCAGTTTGTGAGATCGAGCCGAGTCAGGCTCTGAGCTGACAGCACAGAGTCTGCTTGGAAGTCCCTCTCTCTCCTCTCTCTCTGCCCCTCCCCTGCTCATGCTTTCTCTCTCTCTCAAAAATGAATAAATAAACTTAAAAAAAAAAAAAGGAACTAAGTTTTTATTCCCGATTATACTACTGCTTTAAAGTTCCCATCAAGTTCCCATCAAAATTCAAGCTGCCAATCTATATTATCAAAAAGTTTGGTCTGCAGTTAACAAGGCTTATCCAATCACAGACTATTTCTTCTATTTCCCTGATCAACAGAGGGGTAGGGGGAACAACTTACAAATGTACGGATACAAGGCCACAGCTCTAAACAGAAACGTCTCGCGCTTTAAAGAGCCACTGCTCCTATCACTAGGAGGCCAACCAAAAACCATCCCACACGGTGTCAGAAACAAATCCCATCGTGTTCCCGCTAGAACTCTCAACTGATGAAATTGCTAAATGTCAATATGGCCCTTGGCTGAATAACATGAAAAACCTAAGTGTGTGGCCGTCTAAATCTAACTTGGTGGGTTGGCATAAATATGTACCTACTACATGGCAATTTTAAAAAAGAACCTGAAGATCGGTGGGTTTTCTCTGAAAAGGCTGGTGCCTAAGCTCACTTTGTGAAAAAAATAGTAAAACATAAAAAATCAATAATGCTGTTCTCTGTAAAATTTGTCTGTCATCATCTTAACTAACTGAATCCTACAGCTCTAAGGCTACGCGCTTCTCATTTGTATTCCACAAACGCCCTATTATCTGTTGCGCTAATCACTCAGTACTCAGAGGAAGAGAATCCCCCCACCCCCGTTTTCTGTAGTAAACAATAGTAAAACAATTTGAGTACAAAAACGCACCTTCAAAATTAAGTCACAGATTCCATTACACCAAACCCATTAAGCACAAACAACTCAGCATTCTGTCAAGTGGCCCCAAACTGCCTTTCAGTCTTAATTCACCACCTTCCCGTGTGTACCAGTCCGGCGATCCGCCGCTGTTCCTCTTCGTACTTCTGCCTCTCTACCCACACAGTGCCCTCTGTTTAGAATGTTCTCCCCTCTCATCTCCTACCTATCAAAATCCTACCAGTCCTTGAAGGACCAGTGCGAAAGCCCCCACCTCCTCTGCCCTTCTCCTGATTCCCGTAACTAGAGGTCACGGAAACCCTTCGCCTAAAACTTGCTCATAGAAGGAGCTGTTGACTTTTAACAGGCAAGATGGAAAAGAGTACCTGTGCTTTGGGCTGGTCAGTTTGTTTAAGACTCTTACTCTTCTCAATCTTGCAGAGCTGGGCTTTGGCCTTTTTTAGGAGGCTGGCAACCCTCTTGTCCGTCATTGGAAGCTTGTCTGCCTGAGCCAACATGGAGCCTATGGAGGAAGTGGAATGTTTAACAGTGCTAGATGAAGGAGTGGAAAGGCAGAGGGTTTTCTCCTTCTCCAGGGATGGGGCAGTTGGGCCGAGGTCCAAGTTGTTTTTTTCCAGATTTCCTCTCCCCTTCTTTAGAAGTATTTTGGTTTTGACAGCTGTTGTGTCCCCAAGAGTCACGGAGGCCATATCAGTCCCAGAATCAAGCGACGAAGACTTCTTCCGCCCTGTTGCTTTTTTGGCGGAAGATGAAGTGGCAACATCTTCACCAACGGCCTTCTCTTTGGAAACCCTACTCACAGGATACAATGCAGAACTACTCTGAATCTCTGATCCCTTTTTCCTTTTCTCTTTCCTTGACTCCCGCTTATTCTCTTTTTCTCTCTCCCGGTCTCGCTCTCTACTCTTGTCCTTCTCCACGCTCTTGTCAGCATCTCGATCTTTGGACAGCTCCTCAGGGGCCTTGTCTTTATTTCTCCCTCTCTCAGTCTGAGAGCCTGGGGTAAACCAAGGGAAGAGAGGAGAGGGGCTGCTGGATGAAAACGGCTCTGCCGGAGCACTAGCCTGCTTCCTTGGTCTCTGGCTTTTCTCCGCAGACTCCCCAGACTGAGTCAGGGAATGAGAAGGAAAAGTAAAAGTTGGGTTTAAGGCACTAGTGGCAAGAGGACTAACAGATATGCTTAACGAGGAAGAGACAGAAGACGGCGGGGTGAGAGGTGACAGCTCAGCAGTGCTAAGCCTTCCGCTTCTTGTCCTCATGGAGTGAGAAGGAGATCTTGGTTCAGATCGAATGGGACTAAAGACTTTCCTTTTCCTTTTTCTGTTGGACACTCCTGAAGAAGACGTTCCAGCAGAAGTCCGATTACTAGGCAAGGTTACAGACTCAAATATTCTAGAGTGAGCCTCGCTCGGAGTAAATCTGGGAGCTCTCAGAAGAGGGCTCCTTTTGTGCATATCGAACCTTGTTCCGGAGTGGAGCGGTGAAAACAATCGGGCTGAAGCAGCAGTACCAGATGGAGAGAAACCCGACGCGAAGCCAACGTCCTCAGGAGTCAGCGGAGGGGGTCGGAAATTATCAAATATGGGTTTGCGAATAAGACCTTCTTTGGCATACTTTGCTGAGGAAAAGTACTGTGGCTCTGACCTAGAATGCTTTAAAGAGGTCCACCTAAACGTCGGTTCTCGCAAGATCGACTTTCGCTTCCCTTGCATGGGAGCGGCAGAAGCAGGCAAAAATGGTGATGCTAAGGGGATGGTGGGAGGCATGAGCCAAGGTGTGTGGTCAGAGATGCTGGAGGCCGGCTGCAGCGGCGGGGGTGGGGTGAGCAGGGGCGGAGGCGGAGAGGAGGAGGGCTGCTGCTGGGGGGCACTTTGCAGGGTGGACAGTTTTTTCGTTGCTCTCGACCCGAAACTCCTCTCGGACACGGAATACCTTCTGCTCCTCCTGTCGTTGCCGTCGTTTTCTGGGGACTGGGAAATAGGCAGTGGGGTGTGAACTTCGGGGGTATCGCTCCGCTCTTCAGGAAGTACCTGGATCTCCTCCGAGGCCTGAGAATCTGTGGAGGTATCGACGCTGGGGCTACTGGATCGGGAGGAGTCCGAAGACATTTGAGAGGAGTGCTGAGAAGCCGCACTTGATTTTTCAGAAGACCCACAGGACGTGGCACTGAATCTGCTGTTCGGGGTAGACTCGAGTCGGGCAATTTTAATTGGAGGGTCATAATCCTCATCCTCTATGAACCGCCGAGGGGTTTTAATGATGCGCGAGGAGATGGCACTGACGACAGGCATAATGAACTGCCGAATGTTCTTGACCTGTGTCTTCACCTTTCTGCCTTGCAGCTGGGCCGCTTCTTTCTCGATTTTCTTCTGAGCCCCCTTTTTCGCCCTCTGCAAGAGCTGCTTAGCAATTGTCGCATCTGTCCTTTTGGAAGAAGGAATAATCCTAACCGGCTTAATCCTTCGAGGGCTTTGTCTGACTACTGTCTTATCTTCTTTTGTGAGTGGAGGTGTTCCTTCCTTGTCCTTCCGGACCTTCTGGGGCTTTTCCAGTTCAGAGTTAATGAGGAGGCCGGAAGGGGTCTTTATCCTTTCGGTGGATGGAGGCCTTCCTCGCCGTCGGACAATCTGTACCCCCTTCCTTCCTATTTGAAGCTTCCCTGTCTTAAACTTAGACTTGAGAGGAGAGAGTTTACCTGCTCTTAATTTTTTAATCTTTGTGGCTTGCTGAAATGTAGCAGAAGGTGTCCGTTTAATCTTTTTCAAGCTATCTTCTTTGCTTCCCTTTGGTAGCTCTGAAATGTCCTTTCCGTGTGTTATTTTGATTTTTACTCCAGGGAAGGTGGGGGGTCTTCCTCTCTTCTTTTCTATGCTTTTAGAATCTTTCTTCTTGATCTTATCTCCAGATTTGGTCTCCGATTTATTTAGAGGGGAAAACACAGACGGATCTGAGAGGAGAGCCGAATTCCGGTCAGAGCCACTTCTGGGTCTCCCGCGAGGCTTTCGAGGGCTAGTTTTAACTGTGTATAAAAATTAAACAATGGAGAGCATATATTTAGCTTTGTGGTTCAGGTCGCTACTAAGCTGAATACACTTTAGCACAAGTCATTTTGTACGGACCTCTAGCTGGGTCTAGTGGGTCAATAAAACACCTTAATTGGGTTTAGTTTCCTTCCAACAAAAACTTGCCTCAAAGAAACCAAGTAAATAACATTCCACCTAGAACATTTGACAGAAAAACTAAGATAATGATAAGAGATTTTCATTAATATGCGAAACGAATTTTCCTACAACTTCAGGCGAGCAAGGAGGTTTTTTATAATTAAAAAAAAAAAAAAAAGGTTTAAAAAAAAATCTGCCACCTTTTCCGTGTCCTAGCCTCTAAGATTAATATTTGAGAACATGTTTGTAGAAAGTCATCCCATCTTTTCAGTGAAATTTTTGCTTTAATAAATTTGAACAAGGAGCTCTTCAATCAATAGCATAACTTCCGTAGGGAAAACACCTGGGCAGCTCGGCTTCCTACATTTGCAATCTGTTTTGTCAAAGTAAACTAAGAAAGCTTCACTAGATGGAAAAATATTCATTCTGGAGACATCAGAATAAGATCACTGAACTCAGCGGCATGTGAACTAATGAGTGAAGGAAGATGATGACGTGTCCATTAATCTATTCCCCTACTTACAGGTTCTTGAAGTAGTTCGTCCCAAGTGACAAAAAAGATTTAACTCTAGTTGATGTCAAAAATAAATCAACAATTTCATAAATCAGACTTCTTCTATTCTAACTAAAAGGAATTTGCCAATTTATAAATCAGCTCAATTTGCCACTTATCAAGAGACGTGAGAAAACAAGGCTGTTTTCGAAAATTCTTTGTTTATACCTATATTTTCTAAATGTATTAAGAGTTTCCTGGTCTATCACATCTTCTCCTCCCTCGTGACTTTCCAATGTTTTATATGACAACATTCTTCTGAAACGAAAATCTCCCCTAACAGGCAGCAAAAGAGATTCAGGCCAGTATGATGAGCATTTGAGACTACAGGACCAACTTTCTAACAGAACAGAAATCAACAAAGGTCTCACTGCTGGGCTTTCTAAATATAAATGCTTTTTCTCACCAATTAACTTGCAACTTCCTTTTTTAATACATTAAGAATTCACAAATCCATTCTCCATATATACTAATTACAACAAAAGCAATGGACTAGGGAACAACAACAAAAAGACGTTTTCATTTCTTAAATAATGAAGTATATTCAGATGGTTTAAAACAAAAACAAAAACAAGACAATATTCAGGGTAGACTGATAGCCAAGTGGGGGGGGGGGGGGGGAACCATTAAGAAATGGTTGTGAATTCACAAAATAAACTTCTACCCAGAAGTTTATCACAAGATTCCTTATCATCATGGTAGACTTAAACCTGGCCACTCATAGAGCTTTATTGATTCTGAAAACCTCTTCTAACCACTTTTAAAAAGAATTTTTTTAAATGAACAAGTGAAAAACCAGAACAGAGAGAAGCTCAGTCCTGTTGCTGATTTCCACAAAACTCAACACACACGAAGGAGTCCTAAGTCGGTTATGAGCAACTGCGTCGTGTATTTTCTGGACCTCATTTTGTCATCTATAGAGGAAGGGTTCGACCAGATGGTCTCTAAAATCATGTTCCTATACGAAGTTTTAAGAGTTCATCGCAACTTAAGGAGAACATGGCTATGGTGTAAGTAGCACAGATCTCGTGATACTGCTGGGTAACTCCTCCCAGCTGGGATGGCCATACTACCACCATTTGGGAAAAAAGAAACTGTCAACTTACGCGTTTGAAACAAATTACGACACACATACGGTGAGTCTTAGATGAAACTCAAATGCTAACTAACACACATGACAAACTAAGTCAGTGTCAAAGAGCAAAACCACCTAAGAACATCACATTTAACTAGACTGTCTACCCAAATCAGAGCAAAGAAAACCAAACGAGAAGTCAGAATGGCAGCACAGATGGGGAATGTTTTTTTCATCAAAAGACTCATAGCCTTCTCCTATACAGAATGGAATTCTGCAAGCCATTACATGTTATTTCCACCGAGGATTGTCTCTCAGGAAACTGCCATAAGTCTAGAATTTCAAGACATTCTAGATATTTTCTTGGCGAGAACAATGACAAATATTGCTTATAAATGGAAACTTATTTATGGAAAAATAAAAATGATACCCCCATATCATTTCTATTTTATTTTAATACAGCCTTTGAAGGATCACATAAAATAGTTTCATACAGTGCTAATATTTTGTTTTTATTTCTTTGACAACAGTAGACCAAATTTCATCTGTAAAAAATAGCGAAATTATCATTCAAAACACAAGAATCTGAGGATGCTCATTCAGGGTTACCCTCAATTCAACTCCCAGGTTTTTCAGTCATTCCATGGAAATCAACCCTCCCAGCCTCCCATGCCTCAAGTGGTTCCCACAGGGAAGCATAATAAAGAATAAGGCAGAAGCGGCCTGACAAAGAGCCCCGTAAAGAGGTCTAGTTCATAAGCCATCTCCTACTCAGTGTGAGGGAAAGGCAAGGATGCACAAAGAAAACCCCGGTATTTAAGATCATCCTTTAAATGCAAAGAAGGCAAGGGGAAGCCACGGTCTTTTTCATAAACAAAAGGCACCGAGCACTTAACTGGCCATACCTGAAGGAGACCTTGTGGGACTTCGTACTCGGACTTCTTCATCTGAGCCAAAACCTAAGAACTGCTCATCCTACAACAAAGGAAAATTATTTTAAAATCAGAAACAAAAACATGAGTGTGAACATATCCCAAAGAAATGCCCAGAGGAGACACAAATGAATTTGGAAAATCAGACTCTATATATTAATCATTATCATTTATATGGATAATATAAAATAACTGATATTGAAATAAATGGACCCAGTCATACAGCTTCATTACAGACAAATAGGAGCTGTGTCGTATTTGAACAATGCATTGAAACGTCATCTTTGGTGCATAGTACACAGGGGATGGTCCTAAATTTCAAACTGTAGATACAGCCCAAAACAATTAAAGAACGACTTTAATTCAAGTAAGCAAATCAGTTCAATGGCAGAAATATACAGCCCCAATAAAACAAACAAATCTTTTCAACAAGTAGTTAAGTCTACACACACATAAAGAATAACATAAACAATACCATAATCTCTTGTCTACTAAATATTAATAGAAGAGACTGAAATTGCCATAATTGTCAGTTCCTTAACTCAGGAATTGACATTTAGATGTGATTTCTATACATTTGAGATCCAAAGATTCTCAACATGCATTTTATGGCATCGTTTGAAAATGCCCTGTGATAAGAGACTTAATGGTGGGCAGCAGCATTTGTGAAAGGGATCATGAATTGACCGCATACAGGATGAAATGCATTCAAGAATAACTTAGGGAAGCATCTTATTCTCAGTTACTCCTGGGAAAGGCAAAAGGCAAAAATTTCCCTTACCTCTAATTTTCAACCTGCCCTTTCAAAAAAATCCTTAAGGATTTAACTTATTTCGGACAAGTTCTCAAGAAAGGTGGTCTATTTAAACAAACTGATGAACAGAAATTCACTGACTCAGAAACTGAGTTCTTTCCAGGGGAGAGACGAGAGAGAGAACTTCAGATTCCAGAAACAAAATCCACAAAAAACAAGAATAAAATAAAGATCGAAAGACAGATTTTCTTGAACCTCCAATTTATACTGATAAGCCAAGCCCCAAGCTATGTTCCAACAATTAAAGCCCCCAGATTTTCCTCTCAAGAGCAAAGACCACATGCATATGGACAACATCTGGATTTTCTGCAAAGTTGCTTCCCCAGTTAGTTTAAGGCTACAGTCAGGTGCTAATCTGTTTAACCACTTATTCACCAGGAAGCTATGAAAAGATACATACAACCTTTTAGACAAATTAGCAGGTTCAGCTCTTAAATCTGAATGCTTTGAGTAGCACAATGTTTGGGTCCGAGGCTTTGCACACGACATAACTGAGAAACGGTTCTTAGAATCTAAGTTGCTTGTTCTGATGTTGTTAACATTATTAAAGCATTTAACTATTTAAGAAAAACCTGAAATTGTCCTCTTCAAAGAGATTTGTCTGAAAGGCACTGTAACTCCAAGAACGTGTAAAACCCAAATTTAAAAAGTACGAAGTAGGCCTGCTTTTTACAGTATCTTCTCTCATCACTAAATTAAAGTTTTCATCGTGAATATCATTTGTGAGTGAGAATAAATCTACCTCTTCATCTCTTTTTAAGATTTTATTTTTAAGTCATCTCGCCACCCAACGTGGGGCTCAAACTCACGACCCAGAAATCAAGAGTCTCACGCTCCACCTCTACCGACTACACCAGCCAGGGGCCCCCATACTGTTAATTTTTTTTTTAAGTTTATTTATTTATTTTGAGAGAGACAGAG